TGGAACGCCACGTAGGATGGCACATGTCGTAACAACAATTAAACCGCTCTGTAAATTCATGCAGAGAATTGATACTTTTTATATAGACAAACTAACAATGAGGAGGTAAATACATGCATCTGATTTCAATTTTAGATTTTGTATTCATCTTTTTGTTGATTAAAAACACCATTATTTGGTGTTCCCCTTAGTGGCCATTTAGTAGAGATTTGATACATTTTTATATAGTCAAACCATTGAACCATCATTTAGAAGGATTACCTCCTTTGCTGCCAAGGTCTCCCACGAATATGATATTCCCCTTTTGCCATGGTCGTCTGCTTCCTCGAGTAACCCTAATTAGTGACAATTCAAAAGAGAAATAATACTTTTTATGTATTTTAAACCATAGCACCATCATGATTAGCTCCTTTGACGCATGGCCGTCTCTTCTCCCATGGGCCTTCTAGTTATAATCAACAAAATCATTAAAGAAAAATACAACACATAATAGATGAGAAGACACAGTTAAGAACTTACAAAGCACATCTCTAACATATAAACTGCAAAAAATCTCCCTATGGACGTTAATTGCAAGAAGATTGACCAACAGGAAGCTATAGATACCTTATAATTAAAAAAAATAACAAAATAAAAGAAATACCTAACCAACATCAATATTATCAAAGTTCTCAATTTCAATTGTTTCATTAATATCAAATGAAACATCAATAATATCAACACTCAATTTTCATAGCTTCAAGAGTTTGATTCTCATTTATGAAAAAAGTAAATATTTTATAACAAACTTATCAAGAGCCCCTTTTTGAAATTTGTTTAAACTTTCTAATTCTATTACTCATTTTAAATCAAAGCGTTCAAGAACAAAATGATAAACTTAAGAAATAAACTGGAACTTAAATATGTGAAAGGGGTCTACCAAGTCCATTTAAATTCTGAAAAAAATAAAAAATAGTCATCAAACAAATTATTCAATAGTCAATAAATTGAATTTGGATTAATTACTAAAATTTGAAGTTAAAAAATGGAAACATTACAACTATGCAAAGGAGACCAAAGTGATGACTGAAGATGGAAGCACCTCAAGCTCTCAATAACGAAGCAGTCACATTTTCACATATGCTAGATTTGCCAAAAATGTGGATGTGCCATATTGGAAAAAAATAGAATTGAGGCCTTGAGGGTGGGAGAGGGAAGAAATCTGAGAAAGTATATTTAATTGTAGGTCTGTTTGAAAAATATTGAAAGACTAAGTTAATATAAGGGGTATATTTTGAGATTTTGAGATGATACCTAAAAGCCGTTTGGTGTTCATCATTTCATCGTTGCCCCTTTTCTCCTTGTGAGCATATCTAACATTGAAGGCATATCTAACATTGAAGGCGGGGCGGCCCTGGTCTGAGAAGACATGTCGCCGGTTAGTGGTGGTGACAGCGCGGAGGCCCTGTTACGTCTCTTCTCCGAACCAGCGACAAATTGAGGATGAACGGACGCAAGAGAGAATTGGGAAAAGAAACGCAGAATTGATAAAAGAACCGGCTGCAATTAGGGAATTGCAATTAGGGAATGTGCAAAGTCTTGTTCAATTAATTCTAACATGATTGCTGGCAGTCCAACTTAGCAAGAGTGAAGCCACGTCATCTGCCATGTGTCAACACCACAGCCAAAAAATCCTACTTTATATACTCCCTCCGTCCATTATTAATCTTCCCGCTTTGACCGGGCACGCAGTTTAAGAAAAGTTGAAATATGCATTGACTTTCCTATAATGCCCCTGCCTCCACCTTTTCTTGCCTGTCCTTTCGGCCCTTCAATCCAACCCACAAGCATCCTAGAGCTTCATGTTTCAGATCTTCATCATCATAGCTCCCACAAGCACCTCAATTAGATCTTCGTTCTCAGATTTTCACCCCGGGATGAAGTTCGCCGATGAAATCGCAGCTCATCATGTCTTCATATCCTCACCTTCGTCAGATCTTTAGATCTTCGTCCTCAGATCATCACCTCGATCAGATCTTCATCCTAGATCTTCATCAGATATTCACCAATGGTCAAATCGCTATTTCTGGTGAAGTTTATTGGTGAAGCCGCTGGCTGTTCCATACCCTATTCTCACAATCAAATAAGCCATTGATACATTTTTCAACATTTAGATTTGACTTTGTTTAGTCGGGTTAAGGAGGGTGGTGGTGAAGGGGAATCCAAGAAGAAGAAAAGAACCACTAGAATTGTGGGGTGGGAAAAATCAAAAAAAGAAGAAGAAAGAATCACTGGAGAAATTCAGTGATGGCGGCTATGTCGGAAGAGAAGCAAATCTGAACGCCGCATCAACTCTGGGAACTGCCTCACTGCTCCACTGCTCCCAATCACCTTCTTATTTGTAGATCTATGGAATTGGTGACGGGACAAATTCTAAAGGGGGGAATAAATAAAAGGAGATGATGGAGAAGAAAAGAAAGAAGAAAAAAAAGAACGAAGAAGAGAAAATAAGAAAACAACGAAGAAGAAGAAGGAGAAGGAGAAGAGAGAAAAACGAAGAAAAAGTGAAGGGGGAGTGGGTGAATCAAAAGGGAAACTGGGAAAAGAAGAAATGGAAAAAGAGAGAAGAAAAGGAGAGAAGAATATGGATGGCCGGTCAGTGATTGTGGATGGAGAGAGGAAGAAGAAAGAAAAAAAAGGTTCATGGGGGTAATTAAGTCTTTTTAGTGTAAAAAAGTTTCCAAAACAGGAAATGGGAAGTTTATTTGTGGACGGACGAAAAAGGAAAGTGAGAAGTTTATTTATGGACGGAGGGAGTATATATATATATGATATGAAATCCACGGCCCATCAAGAGTGTCCATGACATGAAGTGGTCGATGAGTCGATTTGAGAATAACGTTAAAGATTAACATATTTTAATAGTGCAGATTACTTCGAAAAAAAAATAGGAGTTTTCCAAACAAAACTAACCCGTCCCAACTCCCACGCACGCCCTATATCAAAGGTTTTCTACAAACGAGTCATACAATCATTAGCATCAGTGGAGAGAAAAGTGAAACTCCTTTTTGATTTTCGGGAGAAAAAAAAAAGGAGGAAGAAGAAAGAAGAGAACCACCCGGCACCCGCCTCCTGAATTTTCCTCCAAATTCCCAGCAATCGTTTCCAAAAGTCTGGATTCCATGCTCCATAAAGCTTTACTAATATCATGACAGTGTCCACTAATCCGTTCTCATACATGTCCAATTTTCCATTTTCTGCAGGTTTCTTTCCATATTAAAACGAAATACAGAGTAAAAAGGAAATCGATGGAGGAGGGTGGTTCGACTGGAGAAGAACCCGCGAGCTGGGACGAGCTCTACAGTGTCAATTTGATGCCTTCTGAGTTTTTCTTCAAGTTCAGGAAAGAAGTCGAAGGCTTTCGTGTTGGCCTCAATCTGGAGGTATTATAATCATATCATTACTTTTCATCGTCACCGTTACTGGACTATAGTTTTGTTAGGGTTTATTCGAGGAAGAGCTTGATTCGAAAAGTCGATCTGGTTTTGTGATTAGGGCATATATGAATAGGTTCGAACTCAGTTCTGAGCTGTAAACCCTAAAGAGTTAATTTGTCAGTTCTAAAATGCCCCAATTAGTTCTGAATTGGTTGGATATGTGACATTCAGGTCACCATTTGCTGATTCTAGCTTGTGGGTTCAATTTAATTTTTCCAGTTCTACAATGCTCCAAGCAATGAGTTTCTGCCAAAACTGGTTTTGAAGCCTTTATCTCCTGACCGGAGATGGAAATTCATATACGAGCCTTTGCATCATGAAGTCCGAGTTCTTTCAACAAAGATCCCTCTGACCAAGTTCTTGAATCTTCAGGTTCGGCGATTTCTTTTGTTTGCCTACATGCATAGGTGCACAAATGACCTTTCATGGATCTGACTGGTGCAGGTAGGAGTTGGCCATAGCTTTCAGTCTCATGCAATTGGCTGGAAATGGAGGCTTAGTTCTTGCTTCGGCGGTGATGGCATGTCTAGGATCCGGAATAAGACATTGCTCGGCCTGTGCCCGGGTGTGGATTTTCGGTTCGGGTGGAAAGCTGATTATGCTCTTCCAGAAATTACTGGGCAAGTCACTATTTTTCCCCCATGTTTGCTTCTCATTTTGGATTAGGCACTGCTAGCATTGGTCGGGTTCGAGTTCGACCCGGGCCCTAGTTTAGGGTCCGAAAAAAATATAGCATCTTGTTAATACGTAGATATATGTCCATCAATGTGTATACAATTGGGTAGTAGTTACAAAAAGCAAGAAACATATAAACATTATGAATCATCTGGGTTTGTACGGCATACTTTCTTATAAACTAGACAAGATAGGTTCGTAACAGCTAACATGCTAAATTCTAGAATTGTTATAAGAGAACGAAGTTGCGGGTTCTAGTGGTTAAGATGTGTAAATTGTTGTTTTGTTTCGCTTTGTTTGGAAAACAGGGGTTTAGGTACTGAGGAACCGTTGTTCAACTTGAATTCTGGACGGTTGCAAGCATCACTTGATAGAGTTGAAGCCATTTTTACCCACTGAAGAATGTTGTTTTGGCAATGTTTTTTGCTATTGCCAACAAAACACCTTCAAGTAAAGGCTTACTTGATAGAGAAGCTCACAATCTTCTCTAGTGTTTGTGTGCCT